GGTTTGGGGTTAATCGTACAATTAATATTCCTGATGTTGGTCGAGGTGTGGCTTCCATGGTTGTTAATGGAAACTCCAACCCACTCCAAGGAGGCATGGTAGCTCGTTTTGGTAACCATATGACAAGGATGGAGGATTTAAGTTGGAGCTCTCTTTCCAATTTGATGTCCTATGTTATGTTAGAAAAATATATAGGTTTGAAATGGGCATATATACAAATGAAAAGAAAAGAGAGAGAGGTTTTCTTTTGTTGTTGCTCTTATGATCTTTCTTTTTATGATTCAATGTCTGGTTGTATGTCAGAAGTGTATTAATTCGTGTAGATGACTGAAAAGAGATTGTAGGAAAAACTTCTTTTTTTTTCTTCTGTTGGTCTTCTTGTATTTTTTTATGATTTGACGTCCAATTACAGGTTGGTATTGTACTGAATCATGTTGAAAATTGAAATCAAAGAGTACAAAGGAAATTTTATTTTGATGATCTTCTCTTTCTTTATTCGATTTGACACTCAATTACAAGTCATAAATGTACTAATCGCATAACAAATTGAAAAAGAAGATGCATAGAAGCTCTTTTTTTTTTTGCTTGTCATACTCATATCGTTGTATTTTGATTTGATGTCCAATGGGATGAGATAGCATGCCTACCCATAAAAGGGTTGGCAAAATGACAACCCCTATTAATTATAGGTTTTTAAGGTAATTAATTTGTGTTGCATTTAATAATCTGTATGAATTAAAAACACATATTAATTACTTTCCTTTTTTCAGTGCACTGGTAGTTGTATCATTGCACTGGTAGTTGTGTACAGGTGCAATGGTAGATGTATCACTGCAATGGTAGTTCCAAAAAAAGAACGTAATTAATATGAGTTCAGTATACCAGTGCACTGATACAACTACCAGTGCACTGAAAAAGGAAAGTAATTAATATGTGTTTTTAATTCATACAGATTATTAAATGCAACACAAATTAATTACCTTAAAAACCTATAATTAATAGGAGTTGTCATTTTGCCAACCCATACAAGGGTTAGCATGCTAACCGATCCCATGTCCAATCGCAAGATAAAAATATGTTTAGTTGTATATCAAATGAAAAGAAGATGTACAAGGAATTTTTCCTTTTACATAGCAATGACGTTGTGCAGAATGATTCCAACCAAACAAGGCAAATTTCAATATGCCTAGCTAGTAAACAGTTGAGCAGAATGATTCCAACCAAACAAGGCAAATTGGGAACCGGCCACCAATAATATATAGGCGTTGTTTGGACGAAAACTGTAACAAATTAATCCAACTACTAGTAGAATTATATTAGTGAATAAATTTGCTATGAGAAATTTTGAATTAATCTGATTGGAGATAATTACAATTGTACGTCTAAAAAAGGCAATTTGAATTGACATGTTTTGTAAAATGAGACCATTGCCCATTTATCAATAATCGATTCATTTAAACAACCTTACGACGACGTAAAAGCGTACTGATTCACCCCGCAGATCGAGCACGAATTTTCCGGAGAGGAAGAAAGATATGGAATTTTCAGGTGGGGGGAATTTTCATGTGGGGGGAATAAGATACACCGTTATGATTATGTTGGCAAAACCGGTAAACTGATAATATGCAACGGGTCGTGTCACAGATACGTTGTGGGAAGGACCAAAGATCTCTCTTTCTCAATTCATGTCGGGTAACCAATTACCATGAAAACATACCACTGCTACTGTGCGGTTCCCCCTCAATATATCCATCAAACAGTTGTGCATATATTTTCTCCACAGACACCATTATTTCACCCAACCACTCCATGAAATTCCCTCATCAATCAGATCCAAGATTTTGATTCCCTTCTCCATGTTTCTTTAGCAGATACAAAATACAAGGCGGTGAGATTTGTTGTTTCACTTATGGCCATAGATATGGTGCTTTTACCAGGTGGATGTTGTTAGAGAGTGGTATAAGATCCTGTATAATCTTCTCCTAACAATTTGAGTTATTGGAATCAACTGGTTCATGACATGGTATCAGAGCCTAGAATCGAAAGGTCATGTGTTCGAATCTTCACGACTCCCAATATTAACCGTTGTCTTTCAAGCACATGGTATGGTGGGCCTGTGCAAACTTCAAGCCCATGGGTTGGCTTTCGTTTGAGGGGGCGTGTTAGAGAGTGATATAAGATCCAACATAACCTTCTCCCAACAACTCGAGTTATTGGGATCAACTGGTTCACGACAGATGTGGCCAAAGCAGTCAAAATCGGGATTTTATGTAAAATTGAAAATGAGGGTAAAATCGGAATCGTAAAATCGTAGGATTTTAAGGTCCATATAAAAATCAAGACGGAATAATATTAGTAAGGAAAATCATGAATAACACAAAAGCACATAACACTTACAATGATAATTTTTCAAGGCTAATGTTCCAATTTATCAATATTAATGTTAAGAGGTGGTGAATCGATGAGATTAATACGTTGATGTGAATTGATTATAGTCCATGGTGGTTAGTGTGAGAGAACTAGATGATGTTGGTGGAGGAGAAGAAAAAGAGGCGTAATTTTGCAAATTCTAGGGAAAATAAGTAAAATTGACTCAAAGATTTGAATCGTAAAATCGTGAGATTTGAATCGTAAAATCGTGAGATTTTAAAGATTTTAAGGATTTAAATCGTGAATAGTGTAGGATTTTAAGGTTCATAGATTTTATAGTGAAATCAGAATCGGAATAGGTAAGTAAGATCGTAAAAGCGTAGGATTTTAGAATTTAAATCAAAATTTTAACTACTCTGAATGTGGCTACTAAATTTTTGCAGCGGGTGCACCGGTATTTTGTTAAACCGTAACATCCGTCGGAGTTCACATAACTATTAGCATGCACATTAGTATTGTTCGTGTAGAAACATATCTCGGAATTTTGGTGTACCTCATTAGTAATAATCGACGTGTGAAACTCATCTCTAAATGGGCCTTTCTACAAGTCACTTTTGGTTGTCCAATAGGCTCAGTCACCGTGCAATTTGACCTTGCTTATCCTTTGGCCTTTGCACTTAGCTAATAAGAAGGGGATCAAACAGGGTTTAGATTCTTCATTTCTTGAAAAATAGTAGGGGTTTAGATTCTAATTGTGTGGTCGGTTTGTTTTTTTTTTTTTTATGTTTTTATGTCTGTTTGGTGCTTGGGAAATTTTAAAAGAGGAAAAAAACAGGGGCGGGGCTGCTGCTGTGTACGCGTTGGGATTTTCTTCTTGGACAGCAAATGCAATCAACGTAGGGTTTGACCCTCAAAACGTGAGAAACATATAGACAGACAGACAGCCACATCAGAACGCAAAAGGAAATAGAGGCAAATCAAAAGAGAAAAATTTGAACGATAAAAGAATGGATTGCGCAATTTGGTGGAAGAAAAAGGAGAGAAAGGGAAATAAAAACCCATCACTATCAAAGTATCAAGAACAATATGCCACTGGATCCACTGAAATTTGGGAGCTTTATTTTTTTATATGCCTATTTAATTTTTTAATTACAATTGGAAAATTACCATCTCTTTTTTGTTTTCTCACTGAAAATTTCGCTGTGTGTACTTAAATTTATTATTTGTTTTTCACAAAAAAAAATTATTATTTGTTCATAAGGCCACTCTTTGACCTATCAATCCTTATATTTGTTAGTCATTTACATATGGATATCGGATTTTGTGAATCGAACAAGGATGTCGTCGGATTTTGTGAATCGAACAAGGATGTCGATTTGGGTTGTGTATTATTTTCTTTTCGATTATTAGTAATTCAGAGGTACGGTGCTTACACCTATTTTCAAAATTAAAAGCCCTCCCTTTAACTACACTTCTTGTCAAGCCCATAAAAGGTCATCCCTCCATGCCCTCCATAGAAAAAAACACTTAAATTGATGATAAACCATCTAATTATTCAACGAAAATAAAAATCCTCACAGAGATTGGCTTTTCAAACCCTGTATCAGTTACTCAATAAATTACACAACAAACATGAAAAGTGAAACAAAACATTTATCTTTAAAAAAAAAAAAAGCAAACAAAACATTTGACACATTATAAACTGAAACGCATAGCAATCTGTCACCTAAATTGAATCTATCCAATTATATTAGTATAGTACAATATCATTTTGTACCGTACATATGTTACAACGTAGTATGGTAAGAAAAAAAGACGAGATACAAACAAAAACATATACTGCAATTCGATTAAGAATAAAATTTAATGAGATATGATATATATAATTTTCATTCTTATTGTAAACTTTTCCAATATCAAGAAATGTGAAAATATATTTCTGAATGAATAATTTTTTGCAACTTCACTTAATAGTCACAAAGTGGTAAATAATAAACCAGTGTTTGTGAAGCCGCACCATACTAGACTACTGGTGATCTTACTAGTAAAAATCTCATACCAAAATATAAATTAGTATATATTTTTTTACGGTTATGAAACTTTTAAAAAACACAATATCAACATAAAATATCCTACTTCTACTTTTTTCAATGTAAACCTTCAATACAGTTTTACAGTACTCACAATAAACTAATGGAAACTTTTTAATTCACAACCTTTTTGCCCTCCCTTCATTCCCTCTTTCTTCTTCTCCTCCTTCTTAAACAGTGTGAGCTAGATTAAAAATTTATTAAATAAAAAAAATTCCAAGTGGCTGCCAAAAGGCACCCTTTAATCCCTCCCACCCTTCTCCTCTCTGTTTTTTTCCTCCTCTGTTTTGCCATTTAAATAAAAACCAAAACTTTCTTTGCACTCACTTTTTGGCCCCTACAAATTCATCCCCCCACTCTTCACTTCATCCTCATGTCCTCTTCTCCCTTCTCCATTCACAACCTCCCTCTCTCTCCTCTCTCTCTCTGAACACACAAACAACATTCCCCTGTTTTCCCCTCAACCCTCCCCTGTTTTCTTCCAACCCACCACAAAAAGGATCAAACTTTGCTTATAACAACAAATCAAACTGCCAAAAAATGGGTACAATCGTCTTCCAAGGCCTGCAATCCTGCCTCGAATCCCAAATGGTGGAGTCCAGAACCCTCCGCCTGCGCCTCTCCGCACCCAAACCCACCCACTCCCTCGAGCTCTCTCTCAAGCCCTCCTCCTCCGCCGCCGACGACAAATTCCTCACCCACCACAAACCAACCCCCGCCGCCGCCGCCGCCGTCGAATCGGGCGGGTGGAGCTTCCTCCAAACCTTATCCGACCCGACTTCCCAAACCCAAATCCTAAAACCCGCTGCTGCTTCTTCCTACGCGACAAAACGCTCTGTTTCGTCCCTCAGCGACAAATCCCTCGAGCTCTGCACCGAAAATCTCGGCTCCGAAACCGGGACCGACCACGTGTCCGCCGCCGACGGCGGCAGCAATTACCTCTTCTCCTCCCCTTCGCCGACGTGGGAGGCGCCCGAATCGGCTCCGGAGCCGAATTCCCCTGTTTCGCAGCCGGCGGCTGCGAGGAGTGGTAATTACAAGAGATCGAGGAGTAATTCTTCCCGCCGGGGGAGCGGGGGATTCCCGCCGCCGCTGACGACGATGAGGGGCCCGGAGCTGGTGCAGGTGAGGCGGCCGCACAGGGAAGGAGGGAGGCTGGTGATCGAGGCTGTCATATCGCAATCCCAGCCGTCGTGCTTCGAGGCGGAGAGGATAGACGGTCGGTTGAGGCTCCACGTGGCCGTGGTCAAAGATTCTCCCGAGTTTGACTCTTCCGCAACTGCCACCGAGGAAATTGCGGAAGGGAATGGAGAAGAAGTCCTTATCCGAGAAGGAGAAGGAGAAGGAGAAGGGGAGGAAGAGATAACGGAGAGGAGGAGGAACAACAGAAACTCCAACACCGCGTGGAGATGCAAAGACGAAGGGGGACAGAACAAGGCCAACGATAAAGGGATGTTAAACTGGGAGCCGTTTTGGGTTGCTACGGCGTCGCTTCGAGTTTGAATTTGTCGGAATTCTTGTTTAACTTTCTTTCTGATCATAATTTCCTCGTCATCACCATAATCGGAAATTTATGAATGATTATGATTTTTCGTTTCCTTATTTTTTTTCCCTTTTGGGAGAATTTGATGGATTTGTCTCCTGGGGATGGCTACTTTTGTTGGGTTTGTTGATTGCTGCTCTCTGTAGCTTGTTTTTTATGAGCTATGGTTTTTCCTAATGAAATAGCCTTCGACTTCTGGAGAAAAAGATAGATCGCAGAACAGAAATATGCAATGCATGGCTTATTTTCCTTTTGCGGCGAGGTCGTTATTGTCGTTATACCTAGAACATCATATTTGCATGCCTTGGTTGTTAGTCACAATAAATGCATTATTAACCAGAAACTATCGTTTTTCTACGAGGAAAAATGCGAGATGACTCAACAGGTTTTCAGTGGTATACATCAATTGCTCGGTTGACTATCCATGCTCGATATTGTTCGGATAGACGGAAATGATGTATTTTACAACGATTACGTTAACTAGAGCTATGATATGCATGGCAGGAAAATCATATCGAGTCTTTTTCACGTCAAAAACATGGTTAACCAAGACAATCGGATGAACTTATACCTTCACATCTATTATACAACAATCATCCAACCTAGTTTAGTGAAACAAAATAATAATAATGTATATAGAAGACACATACGCCAGAATATTCTTAGACATAAGCATCAACATACTTTTGTAGTCCATCGATACCAATGTAACGAAGTTAGCAACAACACCTTACGTACAAAAGACTTACTCTCTGTCTTCCTGTTCCATATTTGATATTAGATTCGTGCTGCCGCCTACTTTGCTGAAAGCAAAAAATGACTACAACAGAGTCTCTCTTATTCGTATTATTAACAACTACTCCGAGAAGAATGTTTTTTTTATGCGGTGCTAACAATTTAATATTATCTTTGTAGCTCTAGAATGTTCAATTTATACTGTGTATAATTTTCTCAATCTATTCTTCATCATTCAATCATATATCTGCTGGTGCCTCTATATATATAATAACAAGAAACAGGAAGCATGTATATATAGGAAGAGTCTGAGGTAGGTTGGAGGCAATATATATGTTGGAAATTGTTTCTGGAATATTATAAATACAGGGAAGAGTCGGAGGTAGGTCAGGTGTTAGGCTTCTGTCTCTTAATGTATGAACAAAATAGTATCCTGTCATGGCTCGGCGTCCGCAAACTGATTAGGAACGATATAAGTAATTAGTAAACAAATATATGCTTCCGTCTTGACTTAGTAATATTGTACGTCTATTCCATAATTAAGTCGCACAGCGACCCTTTGGCCGGCTGGCCCCAGCCATCGGCTATGATTTTGGATCGCAGTACTCATGGTTTGATCTGATCTGTATCGAATCGAACCGTTGTATATCCTTACTTATAGGGATGGACGTTGTTGGATTGAGTTGTGGGTCCTTTGCTGTGCTTGGATCGATGGGTAGTAAGATCCATAATTTAATATCTAGCTCCCAATAATTCGGGTTATTGTGACCAATTGATTTTTTTTTACAGGATATCAAAGCTTTCAATGATCGAGAGGTTGTGTATTCAAATCTCGGACAATCTCCAGTTTGAGAAAATGGTAGCTCATATGAGTTGGGTGTCATTCGAGGGAACCTGTTAATAAAGTAATTATCAATATATAATTGACTCTCTATCAACAATTCAACTTACAGACCGTTTGGTACCAAATGAATCAAGAAATCATTTCGTTTTAAAATGAATTTCTGCGTAGAATTCATTGTCAAATTAATGAATTCCTGTGTTTGGTATGTGCTATTAGCGTTACAATCAAATTCTTGTCGACGTTCCTCATACTGCATGAATTGGCGCCAAATAATATATGTAGAAGTAATTTTGTTAACAAATGAGAATAATTATGTCATTTTATCATAATTGGTAAATACTTGTGGAATTCATTTGAAAATTCCATCTCAATTCCTCGAAATTGCTATAACTAGTTCCAATTCCGTAGAATTTAAAACTTAGAATTGAAAATGAATTCTTTTAAATACCAAACACAAAAGATTTCACTTCAAAATGAATTCCTAAAAATTTATGGAATTCATTTATACCAAACGGTATGTTATTAAAACATTCATATCAATTCAGCTTATTAAAACATCCAGAGCATGCACCTTGATTTTTCAAGCACATTTTCTACAGTACTCTCTATTTTCCACTAATTTTCCTCGTTCTGCATGCCAGTCAAATAAATCATGCCTTTCTTTTTTCTCCACTCTCACGATCTTCCCTTCTTTTCTTCGGCAGGAAACAATGACCCGTTAATATCACCACTATACACTATGGCACTATCACTACTTGGGGGTATTAATTGCATTATTATCAATAAATATATTGCAAAAGAACATTGGAATTTCAATATATACTTTTATAAGTGAGTCATGCTGAAATGTATTTGTCCATCGTGATCCTTTTCTATAGTGACCATATAACCGTACTTCGGTTAATTTATAACTCGAAATGTTAGAAGAAATAGTAAATGGTATACAAGGTTTCTCTTCTATGTGGTTTACTTGTCATATAGTTACATAATTTTACTCTTCACCTCTTCAATTATTCATAAAAAAATATAATATTCGTCCCCAGCTTCTTAAAATATTATTTACTATATTAAAAGTCAATTGATTCTAATAACTCGAGTTGTTGAGAGAGGTTTAATAATGGATCTTATACTACATACTAACACGTCCCATCAAACAAAAGCAACTTATATGAGTTTGAAGTTTGCACAAATACAACTATAATGTGCTTAAGAAATGAGGATCGTCTGAATTTGAACAAAAAACTGTAAAGATAGTGAATTATATTCAATTATTTTCTTATGTCTCTTCGATCTTTTTTTCCCCCACAAAATATTTTCATGCATGTTCCATTACATGGAGGTGCATGTACTTTTCTTTAAAAAGAGAGTAGATTGTGTCTATAAATCATATCTATCTGTTCAGACTTAAGGAGGAAGAAATATAAATAGGCCAGGCAGAGAAAAAAGAATGGGACTAGGAAAAGGGAAGCAGCAGAGAGATAGAGGGATCGTCTTATCCGGTTGGGAGGCATAAAAAAGAGAGAAAAGGAGAGGTTCATATACACGACGATATCAATCTGTAGTCTGCACAAAATCTTTGACATGAACAATAAGGTTAGGAAAAGGAAGCCCCCAACCCACCATCCCAACATGCTATAGATCAAATGAAAAGTAGCTAATGACAGAAAATATAACTACACTTACAAATTTCAAACTCATATGAGTAGATTTTTTTGTTTGAGAGGGTATGTTAATAAATTGTACAAGATGTTTATAATTCAACTTATTGTGACTAAATGTTCTGGATAATTATCTCATGCCAGAAAGATGGAAAATCGACAATGTAGAGATGTTAATAACGGCCGCGTGTACAACTCTGATCATTATTTAAAAAATAAAAAATAAAGGCCATGTGTACATAGTAATCCTATTTAATGGCTTGGATTTCGGTACAAAATCCCGATCTGCAAAATCATGCAAAATCTCTAGTCGTATCATCGTATAATGACATCATGATTCGACCGGATTTTGCAGGCTGGGGTTTTGTACCCTATCAGCTCCCCTACTTAATTACTTTGTCATCGCTTTGTTTGGCGTAGATCGTGATAACATTTCCCCCCCTCATTTGGGAGGGTACTCAATTCATCTCTCAAGTATCCAATTAATCTAAGAAATCCAATCGCTAATAATTTGATAGCAATGAGTTTACTTGACTTTGTCATATCCGTAACATTCTTATCGACTCATTTAGCTAGCAAAATTTAAAGTAACTCTAACCTCTTAAACGATAAATATTCCTAAAGTCCGACCACATAATTGAACAGATTGAATATGACTGATAAATTTGAAATTTACACAAACCCAACATACATTATTGGACCAGTAATATTGGTTGATTGGCAATGAAAGAATATCGGGGATTACCAGAATTCAAATATCACATCGCTCGACAAAGAAAGAGACCCGAAATAAGAGCATTCTGAACCAGGATTTTTTTGGGGAATCGTCCTATTGATCTGGTCCATGATTGAGATTGTGCATTGCGTTTTAGGGTCTGTCACCTGAATGTCTGAATTTACTGCAGGAAATCTAACCAGGCGAGATCCTATCTATATATGCACAAAGTGACAATGCCCTAAATGCTAAATGGTCTGAATTTCTACACGTAATACGCGTAGTATCCCTTTGCATATATTGAGTGCAGCCTTTTCTTTTTCTCTCTACTGTCGACAGTGCGGCTCCAATATGCGCTATAATATCATGACCTATATATCAGGCTATCAGAAATCACCCCCAAACGCCCTCTGGCAGTCAAAGATGTTTGTGTAAAGTTCTTGCACTTGCATTTGCATGCCCACTCTTCCACTTTCGTTCAATTCTAAGATTTTCGTATCTCATAAAAAAAAAATGAAACTTCTTTTTCCAACAATGAGAAAATGGTGTTGTTGTGACATGAATCGGACTATCACCCGCTACGACTGGAAGTCACGGTTGTATGAGCTCAATATTGTTTGGGTTCGTGTTCTGGGCCTGGTCTGTAACGGTTTAATTTCCCTTGACCAGATTGGATTAAGGTTAGATTTAGGAGGAGTACTATAAATACTTCTCATACTCTGATCATCTGTAATCTGTATCCTCCTAGAAGTATAGTGAAACTGGCTCTCTTCTGGCCGTGAACTAGCTAACACACATCGTGTTAGTGAACCATGTAATTCGTGTGGCGGGTGTGTGTGCTTTCGCTTTCTTGCATTGTCGAATCCCTCTTATTTAATTTCCCGATCCGCAGAGAAACACTCGTGACAAAAGAAACTAGCCAACAATGAGAAACGAATTAATATGCAATTAATTAACCGAGATAGAGGGATTCAAATTCAATCTTTCGAGAGTTGCAAGTTAATAATT